CTGCCCTCTGGTGGTGACGTGTGACGGTGTGTGGGGACACGATGCCAACGTGTTCATCGCCCACATGGCTCATGCGCTTTTGGAGAAGGAGGGGTGGAAGGGTCGGGGGTTCAGTCATGTGTCTAAATGGATTCGCTCTCACTTGTCTATCGCCCTCGCGCGTGCGACTAGCTTCTGTCTGCGTGGGGGAGGGAGGGGAGGGTTTGCGGGACTGGGGTGTGCTGATAGGGCGGGGATTGATCCCTCCTCCCCTTGAGCCTGTTTGACTCTGCGTGCTGATGGGACTGTATTTGTATGAGTATCACGGACACACAGACGAGTGTTACGGTTAATGACAGTTTCCCCCCCAGGGGGTGTGGGCTAATGTCAGCTTCATTCATTCGTTCATTCATTCATTCATTCGAGCGTCCTCATGAACACACAAGGGATTCATTCGGACGATGCACACATGCAAACAGGAGGATATGCAATGCGCTGCGAACATCAAGGCAGGCACACAACGTCGCGCACGCGCGCGCCCCCAGCAGGGTTGTGCACGCTTAGCTTGCAGACCTGTCTCACTATTGACGCTGAAGGATCCACGCTACTTGGCGATGAAGTGACGATGTCACTTCTTCCTGTTCGTCCTCGAGTCGAGGCGCGGCAGGGATCCGCCGACGACGCGCACCCGAACGGAGTCGTCTTTCGAGCGGAGTCGAGGGGTTTCCATCCTGCAACTGACCCGTATATAGCGGATGGAGGTTCCGGCGCCGAGGGCGGACGGCTCTGCGGCGTGGGGGAGGCCCGGGGTGGCACATCTCAGGAGCGACTCGGCCAGATCGTATTCAGCGGACGGCCGTGGGTTTCGGTCTGGAGGCCTCGTGAGTGTGTTCCTTGGGTTCCTCTGTGCATGTGGAGCGTGCGTGGGTGATTCCTGTTGCCTCTCGTTCGTTTGATTGTGCGTGAAAGACATGGGACTTGGCCGTCAAGCCGCTTAGGACATTCCGTGAAACCGCTCTCTCTCTGTCTCACTATTTCGTGCTTCTTTGGTGAGCGTTGGCAGCTCTCGTGCGTGTGTTGCTTGGCGGGCTGGCCACGCCCATGATGGACTCGTGCGTTGCGTGCCTTGTGTGAAGGCTTGTACGGCAGAGATTGATCCTTCTGACCACGGTATGTGTTCGGCACACAGCAACTTCAACATGGGCGCAGCAAGAAGGTTTCTCTGCTGAAGCAAGGCTACTTCTGCTTGTATAGACTTTCCTTTATTGATTCTGCACTGAGGCTATGGCCGGCCGAGGCTTTGAGATCACCATCGACGACCAGCGTCTCACGATTCCCGAGCTAAATGGCGACTCTCACGCGTATCTGAACTGGAACTGGAAGGTCAGGCGGCTGCTCTTTTCCTATGCTGAGCAAGGAGTGATGCCCGAGCAATGAGGGGATGCTGAGGAGGCTGCCAAGCGAATGCGACAGCAACTGATGCGACTGAGGCGACGAAGAACAAATGGAAGGCCGCACAGGGACTGTGGCGTATCCTCGTGGGCGTCTGCAAAGGAAGAGCGGCCAGTTACCTGCAGCAGATGGGCGACATGGAGGAGGGCAATGGCGCCTACGCGTGGTGGCATCTTCGCAAGTGCTACCTGCGCAACAAGAACCAGATGGGCACGATGCTGGCTCAGCAGCTCCGCTCATTCGCCTGGCAGACCCTCGAGCCGGAGACGGAGATCCTGCGCTTCGAGAGCCTGGTGAATCAGTATCGTGTGTGCATGGGCAAGGAGCTCTCACAGCTGGATCAGCAGGCCTACCTGACTGATTCCATCCCCACCACCGAGACGAGCCTTAGTATCCTGAAGGAGAACATACTCAGCGACAACTTGGGGCTGGACGCCATCAAGGACCGCCTGCGCAAGTGGGGAGCCACCCACCTCCGCCAGTCGACCACATCGACGAGCCCACAGCAAGACATCATGGCCATGATGCAGAACACCCAACCGCCCGCCCCTCCACTCTTCCCGCCACAGGGCAGCTATCCCGTGCAGCCACCCATGCCTCTCATGGCACCACATATGTAGAGCAGCCCACCCCAGCACATGCCCATGCACCATCAGCTCCATCCCTCCTACACTTCCTACCCACACATCCTCTCACAGCACCACCAGCCCCTGCCTCACGGGCATCTGGACGAGCAGCGGATGAGGCGCATCGGCATGGTGGACTGCGATTTCTGCCACAAGACGCATTGGGGTGGATGGCGTTACTGCGACGACCGCATCAACAAGCTGCGCAACGGCGACAGCAGGGCGCTGATGTGGGAGCCGAGAAAAGACAGGGACATCAACAACCGCAGCGCACGCAACGGCCGCCAGATGACAACGCAACGATAGGGGCAACCGCGGCAACGGAGGGACGGCACAGCCAGTGACTGTGGAGCAGCACCACATCGACCGTGACTCGTGGTGCCTCATCACTCAGCGCGTCATCACCGTTCAGCCCATCGTATCTGAGCTCTACTCCATCGACCTGCAGAGCAGCATGCTCGTCGACTGCGCCGCCACCAATAGCGCCGTGAGGGACGGCAAACACCTGGTCAACATCTCGCCCCTAGCCGTGCCCGAAATAATCAGGACAGCATCCAACGATCTCATGCCCATCAAGGCCGTCGGCACCCTCCCCCTCACCATGCAGAGCACATCTGGCCCCGTCACTCTAACGATCGGCAACATCGCTGTCGTGCTCGACCTCAAGTACAACGTGTTTGCGACTGACGACATCAACCTGCATGGATACGGTGTCTACCTGAGCCACCAAGTCGCCTCGCACTTCATCCACGAGAGCACCGGTGTGAGCATTCCCCTCTCGAGGTGCGGCAAGCTGCACTGTCGTGTCGCTTTTCGTTCGGGTGCACTTTTGAAATCACTCTCTGGTGCGTATCAAGACAGACAGAAGGACAGGCAGACAGACACACCAACCACACACACCACACTGTCTGTGTGTCTGCCTGGCTGTGCATGCGATGTCCTCAGACGTGGTGTTTGCTTTTGCCGGTCGTCTGCGAGTTTGGCAGCGGCAGTTTCCTGCCTTGTCAACGCTCACAGCGCCCATTGGTTGAGCTCGCTGCATGACCGGCACTGCGCAGAGGACTTTCACGACTGACGTTCATTCATTCAATCGCTCTCGAGTCCCCACGCTTGAGTCGACCTGTATTGATCTAGACCATACCCACCGTATGGTCTAAGCAAAGCACAAGACAACCAACTACAGCCTCATCAGAAGCTGCACTTCATCGATTTTGTGCACGTGGGGACATGGCCATGCACACGGGACGGATGGAGAATGGTGGTGGACGATTGAGCCCCGAACAACATAGCATGGGGTCCGGGGCCCCCTTCAAAGCAGCACCATGTGCTCGCCCCGGCCCACATTCAGGTCAGAATGACGGGCAGGTGGCGATAGACAGACACACAAACACGGGTGATGCCCCAGGGCTAACCAGTGTGTGTGAGTCTGTTGCTGTCAGGGTTGATCAGTGTGTGTTGGCCGTCGACTCGTCCGAGCAGAACTACAACTACTGGCACAACAAGAGCCATGCGACTGCCAAGGCCCTCTCACGCATGAGCGAATGGCCCGAGAACGAGAACGTCAAGGTGCCCAACGACCTGCCCCCATGCGACAGCTGCAAACTCGGCGCGATGCGCGAAGTGCCCAAGGAGGGAGAGCCCATCAAGGCCGACTTCATCGGCGACCTCGTCACTGCAGACATCAAGCCCGTCAAGACCAGCATCATCGGCAACTTGATCTCGAGGTTCACCTGCTTCATGCTCTTCGTCTGCGTCTTCCCTCGTGCCGCATTCGTCTATGTGCTGTCCGACCACACCGCCGACACCGTCGCGCGCGCACTCAAGCTCTTCCGCACCGAATACGGACGGCCACGGCATCCACCGTCTTCGCACCGACAACGGAGGCGAGTTCCACTCTCGTCTGTTCTGCTCAACGTGCGCCGACCTCAACATCAAGCAGGAGTTCAGCGCCGCCCACCATCAGCACCAGAATGGCATCGTCGAGCGCTCCATAGGCATCATCGTGGACATGTCGAGAAAGCTGCTGCACCAGAGCGGACTGTGGACGTTTCGCGACTTGCTGTGGCCGTACGCCGTCAAGTGGGCGACCTACCTGAGGAACCGTATGCCGCATGCTGCCTTGTCTCGTGAGCGTCTGATGACCCCCATCGAGGCCCTGCGTGGTGTCAAGCCCGACTACAAAGACATCCATGCGTTTGGTGCGCTGGCCTACGTCCACCAGCGCAAGGCACCTGAGGGTCCTCGCCGTCATCCATTTGATTTCAAGGCTGAGAAAGGGGTGTACCTGGGCAGAAAGGAGAACACAAAGGACGTGCACTGTGTGTTCATCCCAGATCGTTCGGTGGTAGTTGAGTCACGTGATGTGTCGGTTCACGAGTCGGTGTTCCCTCTCAAGACGGCGAGCAAGACGACCACACCCGCAACGCCCTTCCCTGCCACTCCTGCGGTGCCGACACCGCCACAACCAAGACCAGCCCCCTACCCACCACACGGCTACTTCGCTCACCCGCATCCTACTGCACCGCCACTCATCCAGCAAGGAGTGCCCCCACCACAGCCGCCAGCACCAGCACCACAGCCACCAGCACCAGCAGCCCCTCTGCCCACTGCGGCTGTGTCCGAGAACGACGGCTCAGAAGGGGAGCAACCTCAGCAACATTAGCAGGAAGGTGCAGACCAACACGAGCAGCCAGCCGCAGCTGAGGCGGCCGATCCACCACAGCATAACGGACAGCAGGACCAAGGCAATGGCGGCATTGCAGACCAGCAGCATGACGGTGCGGACCACCTGGACGACGAGGCGGCAGCAGCAGCAGTACCACCACCACCACCACCACAGCATGACGAGCCCATGCCGGCACCAGCAATCACCACAGCATGACGAGCCCATGCCGGCACCAGCATGCAAACGAGCCCCTTGCAGCGGCACCAGCAATGGCAGCTGACCCACCGGCACCTGCAGCTCAGCCCCCAGCTGAGCAGGCAGCTCAGCCACAGGGCACGACGACACGAGCAGGCCGACACGTTCACTTCCCTGAGGACCGCTACAAGGACTACCACGTCGGCTCACTCCAGACGGCCACTCTCGACCCCGAGATGGTCACGCGCGTGACATTGGAGGACTTCATTCGCTGGCGGATACCATCGCTGCCTGGGACCGAGACCGTCAAGTGTGTGTGGACCACTGAGGAGTACCAGACGCTCATGCAGAAGTACATGAATGGCCTGGTCAGTCAGAAGGGGAAAGGGATAGACAGACAGCTGGGCTACGTGTTTGTATGTGTGTGTGAATTCATTTCGTGTGTGACGCATACGTACGTACCAATACTCACTCACGCGTTTCACCTCTCTGCTGTGTTGTGTCTATGTGTGTTGCATGCCTGTATGTGTGTAGGTTGATGAGGTACATATGTCCAGCGAGCGCAATGATCATGAAGATGAACTCACTGCTGTCTCTGCTGCTCATGCGTACGGTGATGTGCCTAAAATACTGAAAGATGCAATGAAATCGCCCTTTTGGCCATGGTGGAAACGTGCAATGGAGCGTGAACTTGCCTCCCATGGTGGAAACGTGCACATTCGAAACCCCGGCGGTAGGTAGGCCGGGGGATGCACACGACAGCTGTAGTCCTTTTTCATGTGAAGTCGGATGAATGAAACATCTCACCGGTGACAGAAACTCTTCAAATTTGCGTAGTCTTGGCGGATTAGTAAGTCGGCTGGTGTGTGTCGTGCTTTTCTGGTTTTCTGTCCGTGCTGTTGAGCCGTCCAGGTATAAAGCGCTGTTGCTGCTCACAGATGGTGTTCCAGCTGCCAAGGGATCCGTAGGACCTTATTTACTCTGACAGCGACTTGGATTATGTGAAGTGAAGTGTATGTGCACAAAAGCGAAAGTTGTGTCTTGTAGGACCTTGCTGCATCCATCTGTATCGGTCTGTTCGGAAAAAGACAGATTCTGCACAAGGTACGAGAATGACAAACTGGCGCGACAGGTGACGCCACCGTTTGTGCATGGTTGGACAGTCCCTCCGCCTTCAAAGTGTGTTGCACAGGTTTCTGCATGCTAAACTAGCCCATCCACAGTGGCACATCTAGGATGACTTCCCTCTGGCAGATGCAGCGGAGACGGTTGCATCTTCTGCTTGTGGGCATACCTATAAGACATACATATGCAGCGAAAATCCCGGCGTCTCGCTGTCCTCGAATTCATTCGTGTATGTGCTGCATGTCGTGTGCCTTTCTGTGGCAGGCTGGATGGAGTGGCTGGACTTGAGTAAGAAGAACGGGCTCCTTTGTCAATCTGACTGAAGAGACGTCTGAGACACGGCTTGTGAGCGATGATTGGGCTTTGTAAGCGGAAGATAGAGGTACTCTGCTTAGGTATGCCGACCGACCTAGGCGTCTTTGCCTACAATGGCCCTACATCGGAACATTCGGCGATTAGTAAAGTATAAATACCCAAGGGTCACAGTATATATCATGTGAGCCCAGACTTGCTTCCCTTCAAGAAAAGGGGCGTTAGCAGCTACGACACGAGAGCACACAGCTCACAAGTACCTCGTTGAGCGCCTCAAGTGGATCAACGATGAACGAGTAGTACGCTTGGCCGGGCTGCGAGCACTCTTACGCAACCTGCGCTGACCGCATCCGTTTACGGGAGGTGCAGAAAACGCTGCATCCATCGCCTTTCACATGAGCCGACTTCGGCAGTGAACAGAGGGGAAGTAGAGGTATATGCATGATAGAAACGAAGAGAGCGGTGTGGAATGTTGTACGGACGCTAAGCCACACATGTCTCCTAAGCCACGCGATGTGTTGGGCGTCAAGTGCATTTGTCTTCCGCGCTTGTTTCCGCGTTTGAACTTTTAGGTTGGAGCATTTATTTGTTGACTGTAGCTTCCCTTTGCGTGTCGAATGTCCGAAGCTAGGCTGGGGCCTTGACGTCGGAATGAGGCCCGTGTGCCAAATGCTGCCTGGGGGGCGGACCCTACGGATCCGGTCTTCCTTGCCTGAGCCTTGCCGCTGATACGGATGCCTCGGGTCTCTCGCTGGGGGGATGCCGCCGGGGCTGTTGTAAGTGCTACGTATACGCCCATGGGGAGAAGAGACGCCTGGCTGACGGCAATATTGGGAAAGGGCTGCAACGATCGCCCTAGAGAGCGCTTTCAGGCTGCCTGCCTGGTCTGCTGCTGCAGTAAGCGATCTGCTGGAGAATGCACGGTTGGCGGCCTTGTCATTCATGACTGATCCGCAATTTTTGCTAAACTGATGCCGCCTGCACGTCATGTCTCGAGCGCTGTCTGTTCAGATATGGATGTTCTTACCAATCCACGTGCCATTAACTCGGCGAGCATCCATCTATTGACCCCATCCTAATTGCGTACAGTCTGGCGGCGGTCTTTTTTTGTTTATGTGGCATTGATGTCTCGTGGACTCAACTCAAATTATTACGGCTGCAGTTGCTTCAATTAGCTGCCAGAGGGCCTCAAACCAAAGTATTGGACAGCGTCAATAAGACAAGTGTCTAATCATTGAGTGAGAGAGAGAGAGAGAGAGAGGGAGCGAGGGAGACACACTGAACAATGTCAAACAATCGCACCATAGTATTTTGGAACATCGAATTGAGAAGTCATCGTCGCTTCAATAAGTGCGTTCGATGTTTGTTCCGCAGAGGCCCTTTGACCCTTATTGCGCCACTTCTTTCTTGCCGCATTTTCTTCTCGGCGAAATTTCATTCGAGAGCGAGAGAGATTATCAATGTCACCGTCCTTCACACTCAGTGACTTGCTGACTGGCAAACGTCACAGTCTCCCGATTCAGAGAGACCGATAGGTTGATCTGGTGTGTTGCCGACGACAAACAGCTGATGGGACATCTAAACTGTACCTCGGATTGAAGGCTCAAGTTGAAGTGATCCGGAAATATCCAATGGCCAACAGAAGGCAGTACCGTCTTGACGAGATCTACATGAAAGAGTGGCAACTGAGCCCCTCGAGGTGGTGCAGCTGCTGGACGCCGGCATGTAGTGTACCCCGCGGGCTCTCGAACTCCTCCACGTGAGACCACCGACTAGCAGCAACCAATGGCGGCCGTCTACCCACGCCCATGTTAAGGGGCCGTTTGGGATTCATTCGCTATAAAGATAGCGTTTTCTCGGTGTAGACACTTTTTGATGAAAAGACCCTCACGATTCAATCGACAAGCACAAAGACAGACAAGCACAAACTGTTTGTCTTTCACAAAGACACACGTACGAAGTCTGACACACGTAGACCAGTGACCACGTATTGGTTTGCGTGTGGCTTGAGCCAAGACAACTGTGCAAACTTTGCGTGGCTAGTCCTGTGACGGCGGAGCCGACTCAAGTGCCGACAGAGCTGGGAGAGGTGCATCATGATTTGATACGTTCTGATTTAAGAGTTGGCGGCTGTGTAAACTTTCGGTGCCCCGTGTGTGTGTGTGTGTTCTCCTTTTCACGGGGCGCTCAGCGATGGCCCCTTGCACTCGAGATGTATCATGCATTTACACAATCGTGCTGATTTAGCCCCACAGTTTCATTCATTCATTCATTCATTCGCGTCTCCTATGAACGCACGAAAATGCATCCATGGAAACGATTAGCAGCCCTGCAAAAACGAGGCAGAGACCAGGGCGGGTGTCCGGCACACCAAGGTTTCCCTTGGCTACCCCTGGATTTCGTAAAAAGGCCAGTTCGTTTTCACCCTGATGGCGGCAGGGCTGCCCGGCTTGCATACTCCCCTGGGCCGGGGGAGGTGGTGTGCCAGGTATATGTCGTGGGGGTGCGTGTACGCGTCTGTCTTGTATGCTCGGTGTCCGTGTGTGTCGTGTGTGCACAGGTTGGTAGGGGGTCCTGGCCCCCGTCTCGCATGCAACACATAGACTGGCTTGAAGACGTACTCGGAGTGGCCAGAGCATGCCTGAGTTTCACCATGCATGTGCAATGTGACCCCGAGTGCCCGTCTTTTGGCCCGTCTCACCTCCTTGCATTTTACCTCACCGAAGACGCTTTCCATCCGTCTCTGGACAGCTCACAGTCGCTGGAAGAAAGGCACTGCTGCAGCCTCCCCCGCCGAAAGCTTCTCCTACCCCTGCGACGTCACGCTGCCCACAGAAACGGCGGTCGATGGGGCAGCCGGGGTGCTCCACATGGTGTTTCACTGCAAATCGCACATCATATGGACCAGACTGATGAGACGGAGGTGTCCTCGGCCTTCTTCAACCTCGAAAAAGCCCCGCAGAGGAGAAAATGAGCGGTCCGGGAGAAACCCCAAAATGCGAGCTCGGACTCTTATTTACACAATCGTGCTGATTTAGCCCACAGCTGTGCCAACTTTCGGTGTCTGGTTCTCTTTCTCAAGACGGCGCAGGGCGATGGCCGCTGGCGTGCAGACACAGCATGACGGGTTGTATCAGACATACATGCTTTTGCTTTTGCATCGACTGAATGAGAGTCCCGAGAGATCAGCCGAATTCCGTGTAACCGACACCAGTGTTCGCCACCTTTTACCCGAACGACAGGGCGCAATTGCGACTAGAAGCAGACTCCTCTTTGGCAGCGTCTGTGCGCATATATTTCATCAACCAGATCGACCTTGAAGCGTGTGCAAGGAGATTGCGGTTGAGTTGGCGGTGAGCAAGTTTTCAGCGGCTATGGTCTCGTTTGCGCGGCCGAAGAGCGACGGCCGCTTGCGTACGAAGAGAGCGTAAAGCAGTTGTGCCGTGAACGATGCATTGTGTGACTGATGGTTCATGGCTGTGTAAACTTTCAGTGACTGGTTCTTCTTGTTGACAACGACGAAAAGCGATGAGCGCTTACGTGTGAACACAGCACAGCGAAATGTATCATGCATTGACACAATTGTGATGATTTGGGTTGACGGCACCGTCAACTTTCGGTGGCTGGTTCTCGTGTTTCACGGAGCGCAGAGCGACAATCGCTTGCGTGAGGAAAGAGCAGACGAAGAACCACTCACACACAGACTTGCGCGGCGAACGCACCAGAAACCCGAGAGAAAACAGCCAAAACCGATTTTCCGGGTTTTTTGCCGCCGTGTTTCGCGCAAACGAGTGAACGGATTTGAACCTCGAAGCAAACTCGTTCCTCGCGGTGACCCCCTCCACAGATATCCGAAGACAGATCTTGAAAAGACCCCCTAGAAAAAAAGCTGGTCTTGCGATATTTTGTTTGCGAGCTGATAACCACCTCCAGCTCAGTTTTCAGCTAGAGCAGGATACGTGAAACTGATCTGAGCTGTCGTGTGCAATCTTTTTTTTCCGAGCAGAGGACGCGGCAAAGACAGCTTTCGCTTTTGTGCACATACACTTCGCATTCACACGTCATTGATCCGACTCGCTGTCACAGTAAACAAGCTCCTACGGATCCCTTGGCAGCTGCACCGCCAACAATGGCCCGGCGCTTTTGTATGGCCCGGCGCTTTTGTGGCATCTGTGAGCAGCAACAAAGTTTCATACCTGGACGGCTCATGAGCACCGGGGGACGTCAGAAAGCCAGAAGAGCAGAGACACACACCAGCCGACGTCGACCGGTGAGAGTCAACAACGTATCCGCCAAGACTACGCAAATTGGCGGTTTTCTGTCGCACCGGTGAAAAAGGACTGAAGCTGTCGTGTGCCTTCTCCGGCCCTCCTTCGGGGTCTCGAATGTTCATTTTAGTTGGTTGATTCCCTGAACCGGGGATATTTGGAAGTCTACCATTCGTCATGCCGTTTTCAAGGAAGACAAATACACATGTGAACTCTCCCCTATTTTCAAGACCGAGAGGTGTTAAGGAGATACATGAACGGGCGACGAAGTTCGTCTAGGCATCAGTTCGTATCAAGCAATCGAAGGGGAATAATACATCCAGAAACAATGCACAAACGTTCGTTGACTGCGAAAGACATGTCGCACACTGCAACAAGCGTGAGACATGCAACATGACACACACATTCACAAGCAGATCCAGCCAGCCACCTCACAGCCCCGGAGCGGGGCTGGTGTGGCCTGTATGGCCCGCGGCTGACGAAGTCCTCGGGAAACGCGCTGGCCCCTCTTTTTGGATTCTTCGCAAACAACCGTTGGCCCGCATGCCCATCGCCAAAATTATACAAAGCAGGTGCAGACCCAGGTCAAGAAGGGCTTCAACGAGAACATGACTGTTACTGTCGGTGAAGGTCGCCGGGGCAGCGCGCGTCCCAGGCGCCTCTATGAACTTAACCCTTGCAACACGGGCACCCCACAACTGTTCCGTCAATGGAGCATGCAATGGAGGCCTTTGCATCTTGGGCGGCGACAAATTGGGTGTACGAGGAACGGGTATGTTTGCACAGAAAAATACATACACAGCGGAGGCAAAAACCTGCGTGTGGTCTTCCTTTTGGTGATCTCCGGTCAGATGTCATCAAACACAACACTCTGTCATTCAGTATCAGAGACGACGAATCCAAGGGTTCCGGGCAGCGAAGACAGCTCAGAAGAAAGCAGCGAGGAAAGCAGCGAGGAATCCGAGGAATCCTCCGAAGAAAGCAGTGAAGAATCCTGCCCGAAGAGAGCTCTGTCCTGAGGCTGTGCCCGGGTCCTTCGGAAAGAACATCCCGGCTCGAAGTCGCCCGACAACAACAAAGCGTCCTACCTCGACCACGAATCCACCGAGAAAGGGACAACCACCACGCCCAGATCCCCAGCGGCTCAGCCATTCAGGAGAGTCAGAGGGCTGCCGTGTATGTGGCACTGACAGTTCTTTTGACACTATTCCAGTTATTCGAGTTATTCCTTTAGACATATTCGATTCGCCCCTCGACTTGGATGTGACTGCGTGAGTGGCCATTCTCTAAGTGATACGTGCAAAAATATATAACAAGCGTGAGACATGCATCACGATACACACAAACACAAAATCCAGATCGGCCAGCCACCTCACAGCCCCGGAGCGGGGCTGGTGTGTGCCGGCAGTCCAGACCGCCTTGGTAGGTCACAGGATGAAGAACAACACACGAATTTGGCAGTCGATTACATGAGGATGTTGAGATGTTGGAACTGCTCGCTGCGACACATGGCTATCGCAGATTGTCATTTTTCAGCAGCCGGTGGTAACAGATTTCAGTCACTCCCGCAGCACGTTTGACTTGCCGCCGACTAGCCCTAATCCTGCCAGCGGTCAGATGGAGCCCCCTGATGAGGGTGGGTGGCGCAGGGACAAAGTCGATTACATGAACGGGGTCCGTGCGGGCTAGTGCGGGCTCGCTGACTACTGCGGGCTCGCTGGCTAGCTTCTCGTCAGCGAACTTTGCACTCCATATCCGCTGAGAGGTTGCACCCCAATGTTTTGTGTCAGCGTATCGAGGTGACGGTGAGAGCATTAGGTAGAGGACGAAGGAAGGTAAACGTGTACGCAAGAACGGGGTGTTGCCGTTGCTTCACCCCGTCCCTTATTCGACAACATTCGACAACATTTGAATCCCGTCAATTATTTGATCCCCCAAAAACATGTCCGACAGGGCTTTCGTTGCTCCTCTCGACTCGCCGATGTGTCGACGAATGCACACTCGGAGAACAAAGGATGATCTCGCACATTCGCCGCCGTACCTTCACCCCAACGCGCACAGAGAGATCCCAATTGTCGGTTGTGTATCTTTCTGCGTGTATGGATGGCTTACCATCTTTGCTGGTCCTTTTGATATAGTTGAGCTTTGTCTTGTCAGTGAGACATTGTCGTGTCATTGCGCGGAGCACACTTCTTGCTGTCTCGCTATTTGGGGCGTCCCAGAGAAGTTTCTTGCTGTAGTAGTCCATCATTCGCAGCTTTTCTGTTACGGCTCGGTGGTCCTTGTAGAGCTCATCCAAGATCGGCTTCAGCGCTGCGCGAGGGTTCTGCTCAAAGACAGAGCCCTCGATCGAATAGGTCAGGTTCCTGCTCACAACACAAAGGGGAGCCAAGTATTGGAAGCATCAAGTGCAAATCTGCCTTCTTTTCAATACTTCCATGGGATCTCGCATTGGAGCGGGATGGCGTATTTATACATATCGTCTAGGTCGCTGATTAAAACATCAATCGTGCGAGTTGCAAAGCCGTCAACGACCCTCGAGCTCGTCACATCTCTTCCCCGAAAGCATAGATTCAACTTGGAGCTGGCCAGGCGGTGAATGAAAGCCGACGTCTCGGACAGCCGGTGTGTGCCATTCACCACGCCCTCACACTGCTCGAATCTGCCAATTCGTCCTTTTGAACGTGTTGTCCTGTCTTGGCGTGGGCAAAAGGGAAATTCAGTTTGTGATATGTCGCCGGTTGCAACAAATACGTTGGTCCCTGGTACGCAATCTGGGCAGGCTTTTAATTTATAGTGCCAACTCGCCAAGCTTTCGAAGGCCAGCTTTCGATACGGACGGTCGTGATACAACTTTCCTACAACACTCAACCACAGCACACATATCGGCCGAGTTGAGCGTTGCCCGTGTCTGACCTTGAAAGAACATTGTGTAGTCGCGTTTGAACCAGTCGTGTCTCGAGGGAGGATTGAAAGCCATGGCAAGTCGGTCATCCTCAAACACGTCGGTAGGTTTGATAAGCCCACGCCTCAGCAGGCTTTCCTTCTCAAAAGGCTGGTAGGCCTGATGGAGTGGCGTCAGCGAAGACCTGAATGCAGGCATACACAACCAGTCATCGATGCATTGAGTTGCGTAGGATTTTCATACGTGTGGGGTATCGTGACAGCACATCCGAAGAGGCCTCTGTCTGTTGGTCGAGATGTAGATCACAGCTAGCTGGCTTTTCTCCTTCACTTCCTTACGGTTGTCCACAAGGTGCCGCCCCTGTGTGATGTTCTTCGCAAATGTCGCGAAAGACTCCCCCAATACTCTCGTCATATCGAAGGGATAATTAAAGCGCCAGTCGCTCGCCTGCATGGTCAATCAATACACTATTCGAACATTGCTTGTCATGAGCGGGGGCCAACGATCACTCACCACCAGGATGTGGTCGAGTCCGCCGTTCCTCTTCCATTGTGGCGTCTCCATCACCTGGACATCTGACTGGTGCCCATATTTCCACTTATACACTTTCTCACCTCCTTGACAGCCGTTGCTGCTAAGTCGTGGGCTTTCGTTCTGTTTCTGTCGTTGCATGAGTTGTGCAGAAGTAACACTGCAGGCAAGTGAATGAATGAACTAATCCTGTACGTGTCTCCCTCATTATGTGTAGACAGACCCGGATAGATTGGGAGGACATAGACGAGCGCTTTGTCAGGGTCAGACGTCCTCCAAGAATCGTTCCACAACTGGTCCAGCCAGTATATCTCGTCAACGTTCTTCCTGTCCCCCAGCGGGAGAAGTGCAGGCCAGCGCCCCTCAAGGATATTCCGTGCGCTCTCTTGACACATGCCATAAAGCTTCCTCATAGCCGGCGTGTGGTAGATGTAGAACGGCACCTCGATGTCTCGCTCCAGTGCCTTTAGATCGGCAAAGTCGTTGCTGGCGTCTTGGATGACGTTGATCCGTTGGTTATTGAATGCGAAATGACGAGCGAATGAGGAGATGGAGCGGGACTTCGTCGGGTGATGAGAGTTGACACACAGATATAAACTGACCCATTGCAACAATGACAATAGCAACAAGTTCGCAAATCCACACGATGCCTTCTCTTTCCCTCTCGTCCCGATCATTCCCACAAACACAACAAAAAAGGCCCCGAACGATTTACGGAGCTTCTGTTTGCTGTTCTGTTTGCTGTTCTGAACCCTCACAGCTCGTCTTTTTTTCGCTGAGTTTTTCTTCGCCTGTAGAGTGCGAGAAGACTGCGTTGGTTGCGTCCGGTGACCGCGTGTTTGAACAATCTAAACAACGAGCATGTAAAACCTGCACACCCGATAATTCTGTTACGGAAAATCATCCATCTCGCTTTTCTTACTAAGCCCGCTCCTTTTTTTGAGGGAGGGGCGTCTGGAACGCGTCCCGCCTGTCTGAGCGTTTCTGGGCGAGTCGACATGCCAAGCCGGCGCACCAATGTGTAAGACAGCTTCTTTTTCGTCTGAAGTCCGAATGAGTGATTCACCGGTGGGACAGAAACTCACCAATTCGTGTACACAACACGGTCTTGGCGAAGTATTAAAGTCGGCTGGTGTGTGCCTCTCTCTCTCTTTCTCTGTTTTCTTTCTTTTTCTCCTTTTTTTCTTCTTCTTCCCCCATACCCCGCTTCTTTTTCTCTTCTCTTTTTCTTCTTCCCTCATACCCATGAGCCGTCCGTGTGACAATGGTCTTTGACTATATCGGACACATCTGTTGCGTCGTTCTGTCTTGCCGTGTCTGTGTCCGATGTGCTATGAGTAATAGGACAAAGCTCGAGGATGCTGCATGAACTGTTGCTGGTGAGTGAGAGTGAGTGTTCGGTTGGATGTGTGAAGGTTTCTGTTACTAAAGGCTCAAGCTATCTCTGTTCGCACACACGGGGGACTGGTCCTATCAACGACTGCCTGTCTGTCTCACAGACGAGTACAAACAAACGAATAAACGAACGATTGGACGGCGAACGACGAACGAACGCACGAACACACGACGTGTCACTCGTGACACACGATGCACACACCTAGCTGATGCTCACAACATCTGGTCTGAATCTGCCTGTTCTGACGATGGGAATCAACACAGGGAGGTCGAAACGATGAACAACGAGTGAAACAACTGCTGCACACTGGATGCCAGCAATTGGCGATTCGAAACCCCGGCTGGAGGTGGGTCGGGATGCACATGACAGCTCTAGTCCTTTTCTTCCCCACTTCGTGGAAGAATGACAGCACATGAGTTAGTGGCTACCTGCATGCACAAATTTGAGTTGCGTTGCACTATTGCGGCGATAGATGGAAAGCTGAGACATAGACGTGGCAGCGAAACCCTAAAGGGACATCCCGGTGTAGCGGTCCTTGCCGTCACGAGCTGCAATGAGCCCGAAGCTAGCATTGCACAGGCGGTTGGCTGCAGTTGAAATGTTTGCAACCGCCAGAGGCAGCGCCGGCGGCCTGGTTTGTTGTGTCTTTTGGCTTGAAATCATCGTCGGCGTCGCTGTTCTTTCGTTTGTCTGTTTGCGTGACTCGGGTAGTTGTGTTTGATTGGTTGCAATTGTAGCCCCCGTTTTTCACGTTTCCGAAAGGAGAAGCAGAGCGATGAGTCCTTTTCTCAGAGGAAAGGAAGGCTGGTGCTCGCATCGTGAAACTATTGAAAACAAGGAATTCCTGGATGCACAAGCTGAAGAGGCCATTCCTGCCCTATTTGTTTCGTCTGGTCATCAATTCCGACCCATCCGCATCCATCTTTGTCTTCGTCGATTTCAAGCATCTGAGCCTTTCGTGGTCCCCAGAAGTACTTGTGCTCTCAACCGTCGTCAGCAAGCCCACTGCACGGAGTACCCCAGCACGGAGCGGCGTCTCCGTGTCTCTCCATTCAACACCTCACCCCACCGTGATCATCCCAGCCGGCCAGAAGGGGCCGAAGACCGCAGGCGAAGGCGCCATGATGAGCGACTAGACACCCGACGACTCTCCTTCCCTTCACCTGTCTGATGGGCTTGCCCATCTGACAGCGAGTCTGCCCATGTGATTGTCGTAACTGCCGGAGTCTGCCAGGGATGCCACCATCGAGCCAAGCTTGATGCCAAGCGCTCAATCACGGAGGGTATCATACATGTATGTAGAAACAACAGCCGGACTGTACATGAGGAAAGGGTCAATGGATGCGTCGGCGAGTGTACGGCACGTGGATTGATAAGAACATCCATGAATGAACAGACATCGGCCGAGAAATGAAATCCAGGCAGCGTCAGTTGCGACACGAACAAAATCGCGGCCAGCCGTGAACTACGGTCCGGACCGCGTAAGTGGGTCACCGTATAAGCGGGTCAGTTGCGTATGTGGGCCAGCTGGGCTGAATCACTCTGTACACAGTCAAAAACGGACCGGATAACCGGGTCACCTTCCAAAGAGACTCAAATCAGCCATCCAAACCGACCATTCATGGCTCAAAATGACCGCAAGACGATGAAGAACACCTTTGTGAAAGAGCGGACCGATGAAAACGTGAATGAACGGAGAAATACAGACATTTTGATTGTCATATTCTGAGATGAACCATTCGGACGGTGATCGCGACGAAAGATGGAGTTTGCTTGGCGGGGTTGACTCACGATGTAAACGGAAGAGCGGCTGTTTCACTCCGAGGCACGATAGACCCATTTGTGACAAACAAGAGGGTGGTCAGCATGCAGCATGTTCCTCCTCAGTCATTCCATGCATGATGCATCACTTCGCCCTCCGCCCTCCACCCACCCCATCCGCCCACCCACTCATCGTGAGAGCGATTTGATGGCCATTTCGACTGATGCATTCACTGCTGCAGGCGGCGGGGCGGCATGATTTATGTGATTTGCTTCCTGTTATGCTTGCTGTTCATGCCTTTCGTGCCGTCATGGCCCATCAGACACCGTTGATGACGCCAAGAGAACGTGTTGACGACGAATTTCCTTGCAAAATCACTCAGGCTGCATCACTTTGCGTGGCGGGGGTGGAGATCAACGATGAATCAAACATTCGGAGACATCCAAGGGCTCTCGCAGCCATTCAAGGACTGATTGAATGAATGACAGAACAGACCGGTTTTTCGTCGTTTTGAGTGACTTTGAGCGCGAAAAAAAGAGTCAATGGTGTTCTGAGAGGCTCCTGTGATTCATTCACAGCGAGAAATCACTCTAAAAGTCGCTGGAAAACAACTGGGTCAGCCCTGTAGTACGTATAAGCGGGTCAGACACGTAAGTGAGCCAGCTATGTACTGACCCACTTACGCGGTCCGGACTGTACAAGGCCGCCAACCGTGCATTCTCCAGCAGATCGCTCATTGCAACATCAGACCAGGCAGGCAGCTCGAAAACGTCCCCCCTACCAAAGCGATCCTTGCCTTCTGCGAGGCGTCTATTCCCATCGACGGAATCCTGCCAGGAAGAGACCCGAGACAAGAACCGAGACATCCGTATCCTCAGAAAGGTATCCTCAGCAAGGCTCAGCAAGGGAAATGCCTGCTCCGGTTCGCCTCCCGACGATATCCGTGTGTTAAAAACTGTGCAGAATCTGTCTTTTTCCGAAGAGACCGATGTGGAAGGATGCAGCAAGGCCCTACAAGACACAGCTTCCGCTTACATGCACATACACTTCACATTCACGTGATCCAAGTCGCTGTCAGAGTAAATAAGCTCCTACGGATCCCTTGGCAGCTGCACCGCCAACAATGGCGTAGAGCTCTCTGTGGCATCTGTGAGCAGCAACAGCGCTTCATACCTGGACGGCTCAAGGGCACGGGGGTACGGCAGGAAAACCAGAAAAGCAGCCACACACTCCAGCCGACCTTATAATCCACCAAGACTACGCAAATTTGGCGGGTTTCTGCCGCACCGGTGAGATATTTCATTCATCCGACCTTAGATGAAAAAGGACGAGAGCTGTCGCCCCGGCCCACATTTCGCCGGGGTCTCGAATTCTGTGTATCGGCGGCATCGTGCTTCTGTGTATCGGCGGCATCGTGCAGGACGAACTCAGGACTTCGATATGAGACAGCTCCACGCACAACTTCATCAGTTGGAGTGCAACTGGCTGTCTCAACCTTTCTAGTCTACGCACCAGTTGAACAGTCTGTCCATGGCAATTCAACGTGGACTCGAAT